AAGAGACTTGAAATCATACAAAATGTGTTATGTTTCCAGAGTAGGATCAAACTAGAAATCAATAGAATAAAGATAATAGGAAAATTCTGAATATTCAGAGCACAAAGGACACACTCTAAGAAAGCCATGGGGCTAAAGAGGAAGTGTGGAAAGAAAATAAACAAAACATCGGCCTTAATAGAAACAAAAATAGCACATTAAAATTAGCAGGATGCAGCTAACGCAATGCTGAAAGGGTAATTGATAGCACCAAAAGCTTTCATCAGAAAACAAGAAAAGTCTCAAAACTAAGTTCCACCTCAAGAATCCAGGAGAAAAATCTAGAAAAAGAGCTCAAGAAAGCAAGCAGAGGAATGAAATGATAAAAGCAGAAATCAATGCCATTTAAAGCAGAAAACCAATAATATCGAAGAAACAAAAAGTTGGTTCTGTGCAAGGAGCAATAAATATACAAACTTCTAGCAAGATTAACAGGGGAAAAGAAGATGTAAATTACCACTATCTGAAAAGAAACAGAGTATCACTCCAGAATGGGCAGATGTCAAAGAGATAGCAAAGGGAAAAAAAATAGCATGAAGACTTCTACAGGTAGGACTTTGATGAAATGGACCAACTCCATGAAAAGCAAAACCTAACACAACTCAAGCAGGTGAAATAGGTAAGTAGCTCTACAACCATTCAGGAAATTGAATTACTAATTTTTTGGTTGTTGCCATTTTTGAGACAGGGTCTCTACTACACAGCCCCGGCTGACCTTGAATTCTCCATCCTGCTCAGCCTCCTAAGTGCTGAGACTGCAGGCACAAATCACCTTGCCTAGTGGTGTGTTTGTTTGTTTGTGGCTGCTGTAACAAATTGCCATCAAATCCCTGCTTTAAACAACAAAATCTATTCTCTCACAGCTCTGGAGTTCAGAAGTCTAAAACCATTGTCACCAGGTCAAGGTCAAGGTCAAGGTGTGAACACAGGGCCTTGCTCCCTCTACTGACTGTGGGATAACTCATCCATAGCTGCTTCCAGTTGGCGTGACCCCCACAATTGCTTGGTTTGTGGTGACATCATTACAGTCTGCTTCCATGTCATCCTGCTTTCTCTTCTGTATCAAATCACCCTCTACCTCTCTCTTAGAAGGACACTCGGGCTTGCACTTAGGCTGACCAAAATGACCTAATCATCTAAGATAGTCCCCTTTTCTCAAGCTGTTTAACTGAGTCACATCTGCAAAGTTCTTTTGTAGCACATTAGTAAGGTAACATCCACAGGTCACAGGGATGAAGATGTGTTTATCTTTTGGGGGGCCAGGTATCAGCCTACCACAATTGGACTTGATCAAAAATTTTTAAATGTTGCTCTGCAAAAGATCCTAAAAGGATGGAAAGATAAGCCATAGACTAGAAAATATTTGGAAATTATTTATGTAGAATATGTAAAGAACCTTCAAAACTCAACAGTGTTTAAAGAACCCAATTAGAGAGCCAGGCACCAGTGTCTCACACCTGTAATCCTAGTTACATGGGAGGCTGAGATTGGGAGAATCACAGTTGGAGGCCAGCCTGGGCAAATAGTTCATGAGACCCCATCTCTAAAAATAACCAAACCAAAATGGAATGGAGGTGTGGCTCACACAGTAGAGCACCTGCTTGGCAAGCATGAAGCCCTGAGTTCAAACCCCAGTGCTGTTACCAGAACCTGTGACACTCCAGGGAGGAGGTCTCCAAAAGGAAGGAGGTCTTCACCTTCCCTTTAGGTACTGAGTTCTTGATGTTGTCACAGAAAAGAATTTTAGGACACATCAAGGTAGAGACCAAAAAAGTTTATTAGTAAAGCAAAGCAAAGGAAAGATAGAAAGATAATACACAGCCCAGACATGGGTGCGGGCACAGCTGACAAAAGGTGCAGTGAGTGCTCTAACATCAGGAGTTTTTATGGTGAAAAACTGGGTTGGGGACTTGTTTGAATTTACCTTACGAAAAAGTGTTCCCCTATGTTCTGACACCTGGTATAAATAGTTGCTTTTGCAGTTACATTGTCTTATCAACTAGAACCAAAGATTCGAAGGTTGGCCTGCTCCTTAAATTTGGGTCATGATGACATAGATATTTGAATATCCCATTAAACAAAGGATGGGTCCTGCCAGATGCTCCCTTCAGGACAGATGCCCACCCTTCTGGTAAGTATTTTTCTCTGTAGATACTTTTTGTGCCCAGAGGAGTCATTTTCCCAGGTGTTCTTCCCCAGAATAAGTCTTTTGTTAAGATATCCTTGCTCGGTTTTCAAAGGGCACTAATTATTTTTGGGCAAGCAGGCAAGGTCAGAGTGAGAGAGTTGCTCTTTTTCCACTTTTTTCTTTTTAGTAAATGTCGCACTTTGTTCAGGGAGTGTAATGCTTAAGGCAAAGAAGAGTATTTATATGGTTTTAATTGAGCTTTTTATTAGTACAAAGCTTATTTGTAAATTCCAGGCTGCTGTTTCCCATGCCCCAATTTCTCTGGTCTATCCTGCCTCAGCACCATCTCTCTCTCTCTTTCTCTCTCTCTCTCTCTCTCCCTCCCTCTCACACACACACAAACACACACCACACACACACACACCAAAGACGTCACTACATAGCTACTAAAGTTAAAAAATAATGGCAATACCAAACTTTAGCAAAAATTGTAAAGAGAACTAGATCCATCATACCTTGCTAACTGTAAGGTAAAATGGTACAGCCACTTGGAACACAGTTTAGCAGTTTCTTCTAAAATTAGGCACGTAACTACCATTTGACCCATCCATTGCCCTCCTGGGCATTTATCCCAGAAAAATAAAAAACAAGTTCACACAAATGCCTGCAAACAAATGCTCACATCAACTTTATTCATAAGAGCACAAAGTTGGAAACAACCCAGATGCCTTTCAACAAGCAAATCGTAACTGTGTTCCATCCATCCATGGAGCCACTCGCTATTCTAACAAAAACTTGAAATGGCTCTCCTGAAAAACTGCACTGGGAGGAAATCCCAGAAGCTCACATGTTACAGGACTCCACTTAGATAGTGTTCCCCAATGACGAAATTCCAGAAATAAGGAGATAGGTAATTGTCAGGACGTAAGGAGAGGATGGGGCTGGTAAGCAAGTGGGTGTGCCGGGGGTAGAGGATGGAGGATTTTTGTGCTCATGAGAACATTCTGGATCTTGACTATGCTGTATCAGTATCTTGCTTGCAAGAGTTTTGCAAGAAGTTTGCACTGGAGGAAACTGGGTAGAGGGATCACTGATTATTTCTTACACTTGTATGTAAATCTATGACCACCTCAAAATAAAAAAGTTAACTTTTAAAAGACATGCAAAGTACTAGCCCAAATTCCATTAGACTCAACAGGCCTAAAATCCATCAAAATGTTAAAACTTCAAAAGACACCATCAAGAATATGAAAAGTCAAGTCAGAGACTGGGAGAAAATATTTATAATACATATATCTGACAAGGACCTGTACCCAGAGTTTATAAAGAGCTTTTACAATTCAATAAATACAGTACAGTTCAAACCACGGTATGCTGTGACTCCACAACGCTTGACATGATGTAAATTAAAAAGACTGACAATGTCAAAGTTTAGCCACAGCACAGGCAACAAAACCGTCACACCCTGCTGCTTGGGGATATAAAAGGATACAAGTGCCTTGGAAAACTGCATGACAGTCACACCTAGAAATTAACCCAAGAGAAGTAAAAGTGTGTGTTCACAAAAAGACTTGTGCAAGAATGTCTTTTCATAATAGCCCCAGTCTGGAAACAACCCAAATGTCCACCGACAGGTGAAAAGATAAACAAATGTGGTATGTCTGTATAGTGGAATAAAAAGGAACTATTGATACAAAGACACAAACCTCAAAAATGTCCTGCAGAGCAAAAGAAGACAGACACAAAAGACTACATGCTGTATGATTCTGTTTATATAAAATTCTGGGACAGGCAAAACTAATCTAGTGACAGAGAACAGATCAGTGGTTGCCTAGAACTGGGGGAGGGGAGGGAACTGACTGCAAAGGAATAGCAGGGGATAGAAAGGGAGAAGTTCAGAGTGATGGAAATTTCCTGTATCTTGATTATGGTGGTGGGTATAAATAAGTATTTGTCAAAATCATCCAACTCAGACTAGAGGAGAGGCTTGGTGGTAGAGCACATGCCTAGCATGTGTGGTCCTAGTTCCATCCCTAGCACCACAGTTGTCACCATTTAACTATTCTCTGATAATGTATTTTACTTGGGGTAAATTATAACTCAATAAGGAGGATAGTTTTTTATTTTCTTTTTGGCAGTACTGGAGTTTGAGCTCAAGGCTTCATGCTTGCTAGGCAGGTGTTCTACCACTTCAGCCACTCCACCAGCCAGTAAGTATGATTTTTATAAGACAAAATACCACCCCATGTTTTGTCTTATATTCAACAGACACAAAATTACTCTTTCAAGCTGGTCTTGGTGGTGGTGGTGCATGCCTGTACCCAGCACTCAGGAAGCCAAGGCAGGAGTATCTCAAGTTCAAAGCCAACCTGGCAACACAGTGACAAAAAGTCACCACCACCACCACCTGTTTCAAATTTTTTTTTTTTTTTTTTTTTTTTGGTACTAGGGTTTGAACTCAGGGTCTACACCTTGAGCCACTCCACCAGCCCTTTTCTGTGATGGGGTTTTTTGAAGATAGGGTCTCTCAAATTATTTGTCCGGGCTGGCTTCCATCTGCGTCCTCCTGATCGCTGCCTCCTGAGGAGCTGGGATTACAGGTGTGAGCCACCAGCATTTTAAAGTTTCTAAATGGTTTCTCTAAATCCCTGTACTTAACTTCCCCCCCACCTTGGAGAAGGAACAGTTCACAAACCAGCTATGGTGTGATCTGAGGACCCTACATGACCCATACTCGGGTTCTCTAACAGGCATCCCTATAGCCTCCCCTCCCAAACCTCAGGTTGGAAAGCTGGAGGCCAGGAGGAAAGGAGGCTCCAGGCCTCACCTGGGGTCACTGGGTCTTGAATACAGGCTTGCGCTGCAGCCGCAAGACCCGGTATGTGTTGAGGCCGGGCACATCGAAGCCGGGAGACAGCCCGTAATGATCCAAGGGGTAGAAGTTGACCAGCTGCCCATGCTGAGCCTCCAGCGAAAGCCAGGCGTCGCCGAGCGGCAGCGCGCACGGGAACTCGCGGGCCACGTGCAGCTGGAAGACGCGGCCGCGCACGTGGCGCAGCGTCAGTGTGCGGAACGCGGCGGGCACGAGCGCCTCCACGCGCGGCCCGAACTGGCGCAGGCGCAGTTCGCCCGCCGGCCCCGCGCGCACCTCATAGAAGGTGAGGTTGGCAAAGGTGAAGAAGCCGGCAAAGGGGCGCGCGCTGGGCGGCGGCGCGGGACTGCGCTCGGCCTCGCGCAGGGCGCGCTCCATGGCGGGCAGGAGCAGGTCGTAGGCCTGCGCCACCAGATCGGGCCCGGGTGGCCGCGGTCCGGCCAGCAGCAGCACGAGGCCTAGGCGCAGTGGCGGCACCAGCGAGAAGGTGGCAGCGTAGCCATCCAGGTCGCCGTCCTTGCGCACCACGCGGTAGCCCCGCTGCGCGTGGAATTCCCACGGTGTGCCCGTCTCATTGGCGAAGTAGGCGCCCGGGCAGGCCAGCAGCGGCGCCAGCAGCGTCTTGGCCGCGTCGGGCCGCAGGAGCCGCTGGGGCGCGCTGCCCAGCAGCGCCATGGCCAGCTTGGCCAGGTCGGTGGGCGTCGAATACATCTGGCCCGACGGGCGATACCAGCCCAGGTCGTAGAGCGGCGCCGGCCGCCCGCTGCCGTAGAAACCTGCCGCCATTCGCATGCGCACCGAGGGAGTGAGGTCGAAGCCGGTGTCCGCCATCCCCAGAGGCTCCAGCACGTTCTCTGTGACCCAGCGCTGGTAGTCCCCCTGCGCCGTGTGGGCTGCCAGGACGTGGGCCAGAAGCGAGAAGGCCAGCGTGCTGTAATGGCACCTCGAAGGAGAGCAGAGGGCGCAGGAATGTGGTCCTGGATGGACGTCTATAAATAGCTCTACCCACCTGCTCAAGCTATTCACAATGCCACCAGAGAGCTTTTGGACCCAGTAGGGCTAAAAAGGAACCTGTTTCACTGCGTGGCACATGGTCTGACCATTGGATGTAACTCTCCATTCTACATCTGCCCAGAGAGGAGCAGGGAATTGTCAGAGGTCACACGACAAATTGGAGGGCAGCTGGGCTGCACAACGTCTGTGGGAAAGTGGTAAAACAAATCCTACTGGGCTTTTACACTTTAGTATGATTTATTTTATCAAACGGAAAATTAAAGTCTTAGACCGTTGGAAGATAACGAACATGTAGCTCAAGGATAATGAATAGGACACGGGGCCCTCCCTGCTTCCAGTCCCCACTTTCACCAAAAACCTGTAAGAGTGGGGGCAGTTTCAGAAATTCTAAAATAGTGCATCTTGAGGGCACACATCCTCTCAAGGTGCACCTGAACTCTAAGCCAAAAGCCTTCTTGCAGTGAGAAAGGCAAGGTTCACAAGGTAAGGTGCCACACCCAAGGTCACTCAGCAGAGTAGGGCGGAGCTGGAAGGAGTCTCAAGCCTGCAGATCCCCAAGCATTGCCTCTCTGCAATGCTTTTGGATTCTTTTCTTTGAGAGAAGTGGGGTTGAGGTTCGGCACATGGAGAGGTAAAGGGGACCTTAGAGAAGTGGCCATCCGGGTTAGCAGGCCTGCAGGGGCCTCTGAGACAGGGGACTGCCTGCTGCCCTCTGTCCAGCCCTACAGCCCCATGGCTCCCAGAACTAACTTCTCTGCTCAGCCGTCATCCACTCCCAGGCTCATTTATTTGCGTCATGGCAAATTCAGTATTCACCTTGTTTGTTTGTTCACTGTGTCTCCCTCATCAGAGTAAAGTCCATGTGGGGGTTTGGTGGGGTTCATTTACTGCTCTATGTCAGTGTTTAGCACATGCTGGGCACAGTGGGTGCTTAATAAATGTTGAGTTGAGGAATGGAGGGAACCAGAGTTTCTTCTTGGATTCTGGGCCCAGCCCACTCTGCCTTGCTGTGCCTACCCTCTAAGGCCTTAGTCTTCCCAGCTCTAGGAGGGGCTGTATTCAGTGGTTCCCAAGGTCTCTCCTGACCCTCACCATTCAGGATGAAGGACTTTCCCAAGCAGGCCTGTTTCCTGGGGAGGTAAGTACCCTGCGTCTGGCTATCCAGGCATGCTTCTTACCTGGTTCCTGGGTCAGCCACGAGCACGTCATCCTTGAGCAGGCTCAGGGCCTCCTGGGTGCTGCCCCTCCATAGTAGCGAAGTGGAGCGCAGCCTTCTGGGCAGCCCTAGGAGAGAGCAGAGGTCAGACTTGCCAGGCCCATATTTCATTTAGGGAAGTCACTGAACCTCTCTGAGCCTTAATCCCTTATCTGTAACTGAGGGAAATAATTCCTATGGAATAGGGCTAATGGGAAATTGAATGAGATGAGATGCTTCAGTGTTAGCCTGGTGGAGTGACTCAAGTGGTAGAGCGCCTGCCTAGCAAGTGTGAGACCTTGAGTTCAAACCCCAGTACTGCCAAAAAAAAAAAAAGTTTAGCATTTGCATGTGCCTGGCACATACTAACTACTCAAAAAATAATTGTTAGAGGCAGGGAGTGTTGCTCAGTGACAGAGCACTTGGCTAGCATGAGTCAGGCCCTAGGTTCCATCCCCAGCACTACAAAAAATAACTGTTACCATCATCTTCAGAAAGTTTAATTCCCATAAACTTCTTTAGGTCAGTGACCAAACAGGTTTTGTGGGACTGGCTCATTTTTCATACACACACACACACACACACACACACACACACACGTGTGTTTTATATATATCCTTTTTATTCTTTATTTCTATCCAATATATGTTCTTATGACCTTTTCTCCTACTTAATTGCATTTTACTCCATCTTGCTATAAAAAGACCATAGTACTTGACAGTGTGGCTGTGGCATAGTTTACTTGGTCACTCGCTCATTGATGGATGTGTGGGTATTTCCTGTTTTGTTATTACAAATGGTGTAGTGAGTGAGTGTGGACATACTTCACTCTACGCATGTGAGCACATGTGTGAGAGAATTTCCTGCAATTGAAATTGCTGAGCCAAAGGCCATATACTTGTTTTGGGGTGCTGTGGGTAGAGTACAAAGCTTCACATAAGCTCAGCATGCATTCTACACCCAGCTGCGCCCCCGGCACACACTTTTCTTTTTTTTTTTTTTTCTCATTTTTCTTTTATTATTCATATGTGCATACAAGGCTTGGGTCATTTCTCCCCCCTGCCCCCACCCCCTCCCTTACCACCCACTCCACCCCCTCCCTCTCCACCCCCCTCAATACCCAGCAGAAACTATTTTGCCCTTATCTCTAATTTTGTTGTAGAGAGAGTATAAGCGATAACAGGAAGGGACAAGGGTTTTGCTGGTTGAGATAAGGATAGCTATACAGGGCATTGACTCACATTGATTTCCTGTGCATGGGTGTTACCTTCTAGGTTAATTCTTTTTGATCTAACCTTTTCTCGAGTACCTGCAGCACACACTTTTCAAGTTGTGGTGATAAGTACAACTGCCAGTTGCCCTCCATACAGGTTACGTCAACTTCAATTCCCACCCCTGAGATGCAAAAGGGCCTGTTTCACCATGACTACCAACTCAGTGCACCTACTATTTTGATCTTTACCAGTCCCACCGGTGGGGGGCGTGATATGTCTCAGTGTCATTTTAATTTGCATTTATTTTATTATAAGCAAAGTAGGCCATCTTTTATTTATTTATTTTGCAGAACTGGGGTTTGAACTCAGGGCCTTGCCCCTCCCCTAGCCTTTTTGCATTGGTTATTTTTTTTTTCATTTTTCTTTTATTCATATGTGCATACAAGGCTTGGTTCATTTCTCCCCCCTGCCCCACCCCCTCCCTTACCACCCACTCCGCCCCCTCCCTCTCCCCCCCCCTCAATACCCAGCAGAAACTATTTTGCCCTTATTTCTAATTTTGTTGTAGAGAGAATATAAGCAATAATAGGAAGGAACAAGGGTTTTTGCTGGTTGAGATAAGGATAGCTATACAGGGCATTGACTCACATTGATTTCCTGTGCGTGTGTGTTACCTTCTAGGTTAATTCTTTTTGATCTAACCTTTTCTCTAGTACCTGTTCCCCTTTTCCTATTGGCCTCAGTTGCTTTAAGGTATCTGCTTTAGTTTCTCTGCGTTAAGGGCAACAAATGCTAGCTAGTTTTTTAGGTGTCTTACCTATCCTCACCCCTCCCTTGTGTGCTCTCGCTTTTATCATGTGCTCAAAGTCCAATCCCCTTGTTGTGTTTGCCCTTGATCTAATGTCCACATATGAGGGAGAACATACGATTTTTGGTTTTTTGAGCCAGGCTAACCTCACTCAGAATGATGTTCTCCAATTCCATCCATTTACCAGCAAATGATAACATTTCGTTCTTCTTCATGGCTGCATAAAATTCCATTGTGTATAGATACCACATTTTCTTAATCCATTCGTCAGTGCTGGGGCATCTTGGCTGTTTCCATAACTTGGCTATTGTGAATAGTGCTGCAATAAACATGGATGTGCAGGTGCCTCTGGAGTAACAGTCTTTTGGGTATTGCATTGGTTATTTTTGAGATAGTGTCTGTCTTTATGACTAGGCCACCCTTGTGATCCTGCTATTTATGCTTCCAGTATAGCAGGAAAGACAGGAACACATGCCCAGCTTTTATTGGTTGGGTTCTCGCCAACTTCTTGCCCAGGCTGGCCTCGAACCGAGATCCTTCCAATCTCTACCTCCTGAATAGCTAGGATTACAGGTGTGAGCCACAGTGCTCAGCTGTTTTTTAATATTCTTAAGAGCTTTTCTGTGAACCCTCAGTTCTATTGCCATCCTTTGCCTGTGTTTCCAGTGGGTCCTTGGCCTCTTACTGACTTGCAACTGATCTTTATATAAGCACTGAAGGACATTAGGTCTTCATTATAGAACCACCTACAAATATTAATATTGCTGTTGGTGTGAAGCACAGATTCTGACCTAACAACTTGATTTTGACCTGCAAACTGATCTCCCTGCCTGACCTAAGTTCCCAGGCTTCACCTCAGCCCTTGCCTCTGAGCTCTTTCTACCCTGGCCCACCATTCAAGCCCTGTGGTGGAAAGTCTCAGATCAGGAGGCAGCACAGAGACCCAGCTGGACATGAACCTGTGCTGCAGGTCCCCACCTGAAATGTTTTGGCCCTAGCTGGGAAATTCTGACACACCTGAGAGCTGGCTGGCCATCCTTCGGAGGGTGACAGGCGAAGGCCTTGGGGCTGGGCCCCCCTCCTCCATCCCGTCCATCATGCCCCATGGTTGTGAGGCTGAGGCCATGCCCAGGGGGTTATTGATGGTGAAGGCGCTGGCGTAGCGCTCCAGGGGGTCGTCCAGGGAGACCACGATGCCTTCTTCCCACAGACGGTATAGCATGAGGACTGGGAAGATCTTGGAAAGGCTGGAGATCCTGGGAGGGTTGGGAGATTCAGGGGACCCGTTGACCCCACAGCCCACCCCCACCCTGGTCCCCCAGCCTCCAACCTAGTGTTCTAGAAAAGTACCAAGTCAACCCAAGTTCACAGCTGAGACAAAATCTCCAGCCTCTGTGGAACTCCCTTTGGGATGCTTGAGAACATTCCAGAAGCAGCGGGCGAGTAGGACGGTGCTTCTCGGCATCTACCCCATGCTAGGCCCTGGCCATGGAGAAGACCTGGGTCTGCTCTGATCTCCACCTCTTGCTGGCTCTGTGTCCTTGGCAAGTGACTAACCTTTCTGAGAGAGCTTCACTGTCTGCTTCACGGGGTGGGAAAGAGATGGAAGGAGGTGGGGCGTCATTATTCACAACTGTAATCCCAGCTGCTTGGGAGGTAGAGGTAGGTTTGAGACCAGGCCAGGAAAAATTGTCATGAGACCCTATCTGAAAACAAACTAAAAGCAAGAGGACTGGAGACGTGACTCAGATGGGAGAGCACTTGTCTAGCAGCTTTGAGGCCCTGGGTTCCATCTCCAGTACCACCAAAAAAAGAGCTTGAAGGAAACTGTGCATCTAGAATGCTTCTCACACCTGGCAAGTGATCAGTGCTCAGAAACGATTGCAGATAGGATTGTGGGCCCCATGCCTGGCGCCTGGCAGGTGCCATGCTACCCCAGCATCCTGGGAACAAACGTGCTCACTGTGCGTGGTGACTGAGGATCCTGCAGGCAGCACACAGGAGGAGAGGCTCAATGACCCCATCTGCTTTCACCTGGACCATTGTCACCAACTCATGTGGGTCTTAAAGAAGGCCATGAGCTGGTTATGGTGCCTATGCAGCACCTGGGAGAGATGGAGAGATAAGGGATCCTTTTCTAATTTGGCAGGTTGGAACTAAGGTGTCTCCAGAAGGGACTCCTTCCTGATCTGTTACCCCTGTGGTGTGACACTGAACACTCACTGGTCCTCTCTGGACCTCAGACTCCTATGGAATCGTCAGTCCTGTCAACTTAGATGTCAGCCAAGATTCTCTTGGTTCTTCCTGCCTCCTAGGTCTCTTTGCCCTGTCACCCTTCACCCCTCCACAGGACGCTGGAAGTCACCCACTGACCGGTACATGGTGTACTCATTGGGGGTCCCAGAATTTGGGTCTGAACCATTCTTTCTTCCGAAGTTTCCAGTCCAGAGCACAGTATCATTGTGGATGATGACTGCAGACATGGCAGCCAGGCCAGGGGCAGACATGGCCTGGCGCAGGGTCCCGTCCACCTTGGGGAGAAGAATGGAGGCTTAGGGCAGCCCCACTGCCCACACCCCATTGGTCGTTCTGCACACCTGTCGGTTCCCATAACACCCAGCAAGCCTCCAGCCCCTGAGGTCCCAAAGCTCTCTTGAGTCGATTGTGCACCAGGGCTTCCTCAAAAGGTGTTTGTTTGTAAAAACATTTCTTCGGTAAAATAAAAGAGGGTAGGATCAAAACTACTGGCTTAATCAGACCTTGTCTGATGCCATAGAAGATCTCCCAGAGGCCTCCTCAGATCCTTGCGTTGAGAAATTCACTACTTATAGAGAACCTCAAGCTGGGCGTAGTGGTGCACACCTGTACTCCCAGCACGCAGGAGGCTCAGGCAGGAGAACTGTGATTCTAGCTTTGGCTATATAATGAGACCCTGTCTCAAAAAAAATAAAAGTCTTATTATTTTCATCAATGAAGTAAAAGATGATAATCCTAACACTAACTGGACATTTAGAATGTGCCAGACATAGGCTGGGAGTGGTGGCTCATGCCTGTAATCCCAGCTACTCTAGAGGCGAGATGGAGAGGATCACAGTTTGAAGCCAGCCCAGACAAAAAGTTAGAGACCCAATCTTAACAAACAAACTAGGCATGGTGGTACACCCTGTGATCCTAGCCATGCAAGAGGTGTAGGTAGGTGGATCACAATCCCTGGCAAAAAGTAGTAGACTCTACCTGAAGAATAACTAAAGCAAAAAAGGGCTGGTGGGGTGGCTTAGGGCATAAGCTGATTTTTAGTCATCGTTTCAGTTAATCCTCATAATAAACCAGTGCTAACTTCTTTGTATTTAATGGACAAGACAGTTGAGCCTGTGGGATATGCAGTGCCTTGGCTGACTGCTGGATGGCCGGTGGAATCAAGATTAGAACCCATGCTCTTGTTCCTAGCACCTGCCAGGCACCCTGTCCTGAGCTGAGTTCTGACTCCCTCTGGTTTCCACCAGTGCTCACTTCGCCTCTCTGAGCCTCAGTTTCCCTGTGTAGACAAGGGTTCACATAGTGTGCATATAGAGGTAGCACAGCACTTGGCAAGTGCCAGGTGCTCAGTGGAAGGCAGCTGATTGTTGCTTTTCCTGTAGTTACTGTGAGCCCAGGCTGCCCCGAGTCCTCACAGAAACGTCTCGTATTTGTAGACAGCCCTTCCCACCAGCTGTTCCTCTGTGGTTCCCAGTCCCCCACCATCATGCCAAACATGTGCTCTTGATTCTGTCTCTCAGATGAGGGACCCACGTGGGTGGGGTCTGACCAGCACTGCAGTAGTACAAGTTGTGCTGTGGTGTGTGCATGTGTGACCGTACTGTACCACTCTCTGTGACATGGACTGTCACCCTTTCCCATCTCATCGTTCCCCACCTCTCACGTGTGGCCTTAGTCCTCTGCGTGGGTCCATCAAGTTCCCCCTCTACACATACGCATCTAGATGTCTTCTACTTGTTCACATTTCAGCCTAGATACTGCCCCTCCCAAAAGCCTCCCTGACTCCAAGCCACACACTGTGCCCCTGAGGCCCCTAAACTTTCCTTATCCTCACTCTTGCTGCATGTTAGGAATATTTGTTGTTCTGACTGTCCCCTTCACTCCCAGACAGTAGTCTCTCCAGGACAGGTCAGCATCTTCTTCCTGCCCTGTCCCTGGTACCAGCAGAGTGGACAGCATTTAAGAAATGCAAGTTGAGCCAGGCACCAGTGACTCACGCCTGTAATCCTAGCTACTCAGGAGGCAGAGATCAGGAGGATCACAGTTCAAAGCCAGCCCAGGCAAATAGTTCTGTGAGACCTATCTCAAAAAACCCTTCACAAAAAAGGGCTGATGGAGTGGCTCCAGGTGAAGACCCTGAATTCAAACCCCAGTTCCACCAAAAAAGAAAAAGAAGAAGAAAAGAAAAATAAATGCATGCTGAGTGAATGAATGCTACCCCAGCCAGAGGGTGTGTCACTTCCTTCACCCAGGCCTCACCCACACTCCCAGTTCCTTCCTGGGTCATCACTGACCTTCTCCAGGGCCTCCTTCAGCACAGGAAGGGGGTGGACCAGTGGCACAGGCTCAGGGTGCCGGGGACACATGATCACAGGGGCAGAGGTCACCTCTGGTCCCAAGGAACCTGGAAGGAGCATCAGGTGGTGAGTAGGGGACAGAGATTGGGAAGGAATCTAGAGGTCATTGCAGAAGCAGGGAAGATGGCAGCAAAGGCCAGCGCCATGTCTTGGGGACAGTCCTCCCAGCTGGCCAGAGCCTTACCAGGAGATACCAGGACACAGGGACTAGCCACAGGCACTGAGGGATGAGGACAGAGTGTGTCAGGAGGAAAAGGGCTAGCCAGCTACTGGTAGGCCTTCTCAGTTCCCTCAGACCTCAGCTCCTGCCTGGCGGTGCTGTGCTGTGCTCCATCCCACTCCCTCACTCAGCTGGCTTCAGCCCCCATGGTCAGTGACAGCCCAGCTCCTTGGGGCAGGCCTAGCCACACTTGTCTATCCCTCTTGTCCTCTGGCTGGCTATATGTTTGGGGCAGAAATGAACTTAGAGTCCCGGGGGGGCTCCAGGCCTGAAGCAACAGAGACAGCTCATTTTGTCCCCAGAGCTGAGTGTGGGGCAGGGAGTGGGCGTCCTTTCTGCCTTTGCTCAGGGCACGGCTGCTCCAGAGCGTGGGGGAGGCTGAAAGTGCTGGTGGCTGGGTTTCAGGTTGGATGTCACCCCAGAGGCCCCAGTGCACACCTCCTGTAAGGATGTTCTGGGATGCATGAAAGCCATCTGAGGAGCCATGTCCTCACCCAGCATCACTTCATGCAACCCTGCCCAGAACCAAGAGACAGTCCCTGTGGTCCCTTCAGTGGGCTGGCAGCTATGTCAGCTTTTCCCTCTCTAGTGTTTGGCTGGCCCTCCCGATTGCTTTGACCAATACAATGAGGCCGAACTAATCTTGGGACTTCCAAGGCTAGGCCTTAAAGGGACAGCCTGGAATAGTGGCCTAGAGAGCAGGAGGCCACAAGGATATCCCAGCTCTCTTGCTGGCTATACTGGAGGGAGCCCAGGTTAGACCAGCAGCAAAACTGCCAGCGCCCTGGGACCGGGAGAAGTCAGCAGCAGCTGGGTTTGGGGCAGTGTGCTACTTAATCATAGGTAAACAGGGCCGTTACCTTAGGCAGGATCTCTCAACAGGTGCATGGTGTGGTTTAATAATCAGAGTAGGGGCCTCAGCTAGAGCCTCGGCTTTGTCAGCCTGAGAACCAGGAAGGGCTGGCATTGATAGCTGGCCTTTGCTAATGTACACATGGGAAAGTCACCTAGGAATCTTAAAATGCAGATTTGATTGGGCAGATCTGGGCAGTACTAAGTGCTCACTTCTAACAACCCCTCAGCTGATGCCCCAGAGGGTGCAGACCTGAAACTGTGTGGTCTGTGGACCTGCACTGTTTGTTTCCCATTTATGACAAATTAAATACAAAACTGGAGAGAAAAGGGACTGGGCATGGTGGTTCATACCTGTAATCCCAGAACTCTGGAGATTGAGGCAGGAGGATTGTGAGTTTGAGGACAGCAGGGGCTACATAGCAAGACCCTGCCTCAAAAAAAATGAAAAAAAGAAAGAAAAGAAAAACAAAAAAGAGAAAGAAAGAAAAAGAGCCACATCTACAAAAAACTCTGTGGGACTCTGGGAGCCCAGGGCACCTCACTGAGTGACACAGAGTGGCATGGAGTAGAGAAAGGCGTGCTCCCCCATGGCAGCAGAGCCCTGGAGCTCTGGACTACTCAGGAGCACAGCAGGTTGAAGACCCAGGGTTGCTATAGCAACAGAGACCCAGGTGTTCATCACCAGCAGTATTGGCTCCTTTGCTGGACCTTGGCCAGTCCAGAAAGGACCAGCTCCAAGAAATGGAAGTTGCTGTTCATGGATACCTGTGAGTTGTCACTGTCAGGCTCTTAGATGTAGGAGTGAGAGGCTGTTTGAGGGGTGAGGACCTGAAAAGCCCACCATGCTGGTCAAAGGCAGAGCAAGAGAAACACTGTCTACACTTCTGGGAGAGCCTCAGTGTTACCCCCAGGCTGAATGACTTGAGGAAACCCCAGTGGCAGTAGAGTCCTTGTTTTATACACAAGTGGGCCAGAGATGCACAGTTAGTGAGACCTGGAGTAAAATGGAGGCCAGCGCTCCCAGGTCTTAATCTTTTGGTCCTCCCTGCACCCTTGGGTCAGTGGCAACTCAACACTTAGCAGGACCTTAGGGGCCCAGGGCAATACTCGAGATGGCTCCACACTCACCCGTCTGCAGCTTGGGGAGGTGATACTGCCACAGGAAGCAGCCAGTCATGGCCACCAAGAGCAGGAAGAGGAAGGCACTGAAGGCTGGGAAGAGCCACTTCTTGTTCACTTTTGGCATGTGGAGCTGCCTGCCGGCCTGAGGGAACAAGGACACGGGGCATAGCCCCCAAGGGGTCAGCAGAGGGAAGAGAGACCAGGACCCCCCACCCCCTGCCTCCCATGCCTGTGATTGCACAGGCTTCCTGAGAACCTGCAGCTTCACGTAAATGCCACACCTGTAAAGCCAAGGCCCTTTCCAGCTGTGCTGGTGACTGCCTTGCATGCACACCCCATCAGGGGGCAGACATGGTAAGAGTGGGTCCTGAAGCCTGATAGAGGGAGAGAGAGGACAGGTGAGGGGGGTATGTGGCCATCCAGACCCAGAAGCCTGACCCAGAAGCCTGGAGACAGTTCCACCTCCAGACACTGGGCTAAGCCTTTTAAGAGGAACATCACACCTTGTGAGGTAGGTGCTCTTAGTGCCTTTATGTTACAGTTGAGGCTCAGAGAAGTGACTTGTCCAAGATCACACAGCTAGTTTCAGAGCTAGGATTTGAACTCAAAGCCTAGTCTCCAAGTTACTTAGCTAAAGTTCTGGGAGAACATTAAGGGTCATTGATTGAATCTTTTCATTTCTAAGTGGGCATGTGGAGGTTACAGGAAGGAAATGTATATAACTGTGTCATGTTGAGTGCCACCTTTATGCCCAGCCTTGTGTGTGTGTGTGTGTGTGTGTGTGTGTGTGTGTGTGTGTGTGTTGAGACAGGGTCCCAGACTGGCCTTCGAATCTCCAGCTCTGTAACTGCAGTTGTATGCTACCTACCACACCAGACTTGAACCCTTTTTTGTTTTTGTTTTTGTTTTTTGGTGGCACTAGGGTTTGAACTCAGGGCTTCATGTTTACTAGACAGATGCTCTATCACTTGAGCCACTCCTCCAGCCCCTCTTTGTGATGGGTTTTTTCAAGATAAGGTCTCCAAACTATTTGCCTGGGCTGGCTTTGAACTGCAGTCCTCTTGATCTCTGCCTCCTCAATAGCAGGATTACAGGCATGAGCCACCAGCTTGAAGCAATTCTTTATTCTTAATTTTCAAAGACTAGAATCAACTCAGATGTCCTTCACTTTGGCAAATGAATAAACAAGCTATGTTATATCCATACAGTAGCATACCACACAGCAATCCAAAGGGCTTGTGAATCTGAAATGCATGATACTAAGTGAGATAAGCCAGACTCAAAGGGCTACAATTATGTAATGCTACTTACCTAGCATCCCAGCAAAGGCGAAACCACAGGTACAGGAACCTGGTTTCCTGGGGCTAGGGATGGGGGTTTACAAAAGAGCAGAGGGAATGGGGAGGTGATGGGATTGTGTTCCGTCCTGACAGTGGAGGTGGTTATGGGACTGCTCGGGCACTGGTCGAAATTCATAGAACTGGGAGGGTCTTATTGTTTGTAAACAATGCCTCAATTTTCATTAAATGAAGCTGTTAAAGATCCCAAGAGCATTAGGACATCTCCAGGGAGGACTGGAGGAGTGATATCCTGGCATTGTCACAGGTTGGGACAATGATGCCCCTTTTGCACATAAGCAAAGAGTGGCAGGGTTGGGGCCAGTGAGAGCACCCAGAGGGAGGCACCCATGGCATGGCCAAGGTGTCCAACTCTCATTTCCAGGCAAAGGGTGAACTTTAGGGACATTACATGACTGCTGGGGTCAGGGATGGTGAATGGCAGAGCTGAGATTCAAGCTCTGTACTCTGCAGCCCCCCAACCCCCCCACACACACACCTCCACGTGCAGCTGGGGACTTTGCACCTGATCCCAGCTGTGAACAGTCCTAGGATTTATTTCAGTAACCTGCACACAGGGTCAGTTCGGCCTCTAAGCTGCTCACCAGAGCTGCACATGGACCTGTAGAGGCCCCTGGTAATCTCCCCTCCTCCTCCACTGGAAAACACAGGCTCTCCCAACCCATCTCCTTCTCCCTGCAGTCTGCACCCAAGTTGCCCTTGCCTCCTTTCCCCCTCATCCCTGCCCATTCAGGACAGCCCCTCTTTGTCCATTCACTCATTCAGCCATTCAGAAAAGGATCCCCAGCCTCCATGTGCTGCCAACATGCACCCTTAGAAGCCAGCAAGCCAGTGGAGCCAGGACTTGATTGCAGCTGTGCTCTTCCTAGCTCTGGACAAACGACTTCACCTCTCAGAGTCCCCATTTCCTCCTCTGCACAATGGGAACACTGATCCCTGCCATTGTCTCAAGGTTTAGGAACTGGCTAATGGGATGAGGCATGCAAAGCCCCTACAAGGGGCTTGTTAATTGGTGAACAGTTAGCATAAGAGCAATTAATGCTGTTACAACAGTTAGAATTGCTGTAATGACTTCTCCCAGAAAATTGCAAACAGGGCTCTGGGCTCCAATGAGGAGTGAGGACCAGCAGGCCCTGGTGGGAGGGAGAGGAAGACATCATTGAGCAGGTAGTTGGGGATGACTTGGGGACACTTCTGGCAGAGAACTGGAAGTGTAAGAAGAAGGATGCCTGGCTTCTGGTGTGCAAATGCAATGAGCGAATGCTCAGAGCTCTGGAAACTCATCCTGGCCAGCCTCAGTTACAGTAAATGACGAGGGGTGATCTGGGCCATACACAAGGGCTTCTTGGCCAGTGCCTCACCTGGGTCTTCATTGTCCCCAAGGCATGGAAGATGCCAGCTTCTTGATGACTCGGTCTACACCACAGGAGACCCTGTGGGGGTTGAGTCGGAATGAAGGCAAAGGAGTTCTTGGGAGCCTGGAAAGGAGAAGAGGGGACAGAGAAAGACCGGGAAACAAGGAGGCCAGATGAGGATGGGGGAGAGGCTCATCTCATGTGACTCTACCTCTGAGGCAAGCAGCGGCTCAGATGCCCCTGTCCCGCTAATATACCAGCCTGATTGCCCAGGACTGTCGTGACTTTAGCATCAAAAGTCCAGCATTCCCAGAAACCCCTGTGTCCCAGGAAACCCAGAATGGCTGTCCACGTATGAAACCAGTCCCATCTAATTCCAGCTCCTCCCCTCTCCAGCCTGCTCAGGAACATCCCTGTCTGGCTCCAGGCTCTGGAGAGACCACAACTTACCCCTTTCAGAAGGCTTGGGAAGGACAAGCACTTCAGGCCCCACCACAGCTGGCCAGTGCCTCTGGGAATCCCCTGAGTTCCAGGAGACAGGAATGGCTTCCCGGGCTCTGACGCCCAGGCTTTCTCCAAGCCCTCCAGAGGCTGGCAGATGTGCTGCCTAATTTCCCCTGTGCTAATCCCCAAGTGCCCTCTGCCAAGGGGATTTGTGCCTGGGATCCCCCAGCAGCAGAGAAGGGGGGCAGCTCTGTCAGGCAGCACCAGACATGCCACATGACCCCAGATGCTCCAGGCTGGGGGCCAAAAGAACACTGTCTCCAGGAGTCTCTGCTTGCCATTGTGGAAGAGAGATGACAGGCAGCAGCTACCAGAGTCTGACCACAGACCTTCCTGGACCCACGTAGCAAGACACTATCTAAAAAAAAATGCAGTGTGCTTGTAAGGCTGGCAGCCTGGGAGCTGGCACATGGGAAGGGCTCCATCAGGTCAGCTTCATGTCACTGCCGGGCATGGATGCCAAATGTCTACCTGGCGCCTGTGGCAGACATTAGATTTTTCTCAGTGGACATTATAAAATTGTATGTTTCTTATCTCTAGTTGATGACGCAAAAGCTCAAACTAAAAGTTTGCCTTCTCAGCCCTAGATAAGACTGCACACTGGAACTAGCTGTGACTCCTTTAAACCCACTGTTGTCTGGGCCCATTGAGCCTGGGGCTGCAGCCTGGATGCCATGATGTTTGAAAAGTTCTCCAGGGTTCTGCTGTGTGATCAAGGCTGAGACCGAGGCCAGTGTGCCTCCAATTCAGCTGTGCACAGGAGCATCATTGGAGACCGTGGGAACCCTCAGTGGAGGTTTCTCACACCCTGCCAGGAGATGCTGATGCTCGTCCACGAACCACGCTTTGCGGATCAAGGCCCCTCTGCACCATTCTCAGCAGAGCCTCACAGCCACCCCATGGTAGGACAGGGATCAACTGTTGCTTCCTTTCGCCGATGCTCCAGGTTGGCTATGTGGATGGGTGGAGGCAAGCCTTCTGGATCTTCTGGAGCCCCACAGTGATTTTGTCCAAACTTCACATATGTGGCTTGTGAAACAGGCTCAGAGAAGCAAAATGACTTGCCATGGTCACACAGCAAGTTCAGTGTCAGCCATAGAGTTCACCATTTTTCACTGTGCCTGGCTGCTTGGTTAATTGTCCTTGTGGCTCACAAGAGGCTGGGCGGCCTGCCTGGGGCAGGGACAGAGTGGACGATGCGCCGTGTTACATGCTCTGATCCGCCCAGCAATCCCACGAAGCAGGTTCTGTTCTGTCCCATCTTAGATTCAAGGGAGCTGGTGCTCAGAGGAGCGAAGCCCTCACGAGGCAGCAGGACTGAAATTGGGACCCAGGAGTCCACCAGCCCGTGAAGTGCCTCGGGAAAGGACCTCATACCAAAGATAAGCTGAATATCTGGACACATTAACCTACGGCAGAGGCCTGCAAGCCTCTGCAGCAGCACTTCCTCCTTCGCTCTTGCCCCAGCTCTGGATGCTGCCTCTGGGACACCATCTGAGCCTCCAGAATTTAGACACAGAACCCACAGCATGCCATATGGGAAGATGGCCACAAGGCGGCAGCAGATGGCCACATCTAAAATCTCAGCCCCAGCCTGTGCCTCCTTTAAAGGATACTTTTGTCAATTAGCCTTTAAAAGCCCACATTCCTGGGCTTTCCACCTGTGAACCAAGATAATCTCCAACAGTCATAGGAGGGAGGGATCATTTGTCCTTTCTAGAGGAGAGATCATATGTGTCCGTAACATAACCTTCTATGGCTGCCTCCTGCTCTTTGGAAAAATTCAAGATCTTTGACTCTACCCCATTGGAGGGACCATTGGGTCAGCCTGCAGAGTTTGAATCCCAGATCCACTGTTTATGACTTTGGTTAGACATTGACTTTTCTTGGGCCTCAGTGTTCTTCTGTAAAATGGGTTGATGAAGAATCTTCCCTGTCCCTACCAGTGTGAGAGTGAGGATTATGTGAGAGAATCCACCGAAAGCACACAGTTTGGTGACTGCACACAGCTAATGCCCAACAAGGGTTAGTCACTGCTGTTTCATTAGTTTCACGGGTCTCTCCTCCAGAGAAGAGACTTGTCCCTGCCCTTAGCATCGGGACTATTAAGAAAAAAAGAGTGTGGGTAAGACATCAAGACAAATTCAACTTTTAAAATGAGAATGTCAGGACTGAGAGTATGGCTCAAGTAGTAGAGAGCCTGTACTGCCATTTAAAAAGAAGAAGAAAAGAAAAAAGAAACAAAGAAAATGAAAATGTCTCTCTCAAAGGATATGTGAAGATACTTAGTGTTTTCCCCAGTAAGGCTTTGATGGGTCCATTGATTCATCCATTCACCCATTTGCACTCAGACTTGATCAACAGACACTCACTGAGCACCTGCCATCTGCGGTCAAACGCCTTTTAAGACCTGCCAAGCTGACACAGTAACAGATGCTCATTGTCAACCTATCCTCACTGAACATCTCTCAGGTCTGGGCACAGTTCTGGTGCTTCAGAAATATCAGTGGAGGGCTGGCATCATGGCTTCACTGGTAGACCATCTGCCTAGCAAGCTCAAGGCCTAGCACCACAAAATGAAATGAAATGAAATGTTAGTAAAGAGCACATGGTCCCTGGCCTCTGAGACCATGTCTCCTAGCAGGGCAGCAAAGCACATAGGCCACACATGTTAGAAAGTGCTGAATGCCATGAAAAAATGCATAGAGCTGGTCAGGATGGGACTCACTGAGAGGCACGTCACCTAAAGGAGTAGGTCAGCCATGTGGACAGCAGAGAAATGGCCAATGCCAAGGCCTTAGGGTGAGAGTAACTTATGGATTAAAGGAAAGCCAGAAGACCAGTTTCTGGGGAAAATTGAGAGTCAGGGAGATATGTAGGCACAGGAAGGACCCTGGCTCTCCCTCTCAGTGAGATGGGAGCCTTGGCAGAGTTTGGAGCAGAGGTGTAGCATGATCTGACTCACCTTTTCAAAGGAGCACTGTATTAGTCCATTTTCTATTACTATAACAGAATGTCTGAGGCTGGGTACTTTATAAAGAAAAGAGGCTTATTTAGATCACAGTTTTGGAAGCTGAAAGTCCAACCAACATGGTCTGACTTCCCTCACTGCATCGCATCACAGTGCATGAAATCATGGCAGGGATGCGTGTGAGGAGAGATCACATGGTGAGACAGGAAGACAGAGACAGGGAAGAGCCCAGACCTGCTCTGCTCTAACAACTGTGTCTTGAGAACTAACCAGGGTCCCACAGGACTACATCAGTTCCTTCTGATGGCAGCATCCAATCACTTTGCATTAAGCTCCAGCTCTTAAAGGTCCCACAGCCTCCCAAAAATGCCACACTGGAGACCAGGCTTCCAACACATGAACCGAACCTGTGGAGGATGCACTCAGACCATAGGTGGGCTCTGTGTTGAGAACTGACAGCAGGCAGGGAATCTAGCAGAGACTGCCGTGCTCGTTCGGATGAGAGAAGGTACACTGGTTCTTGAAGGACCAAGCCCAGACTGCAGGAAGTATGAGTCCTCAGCAAAGGCGAACACTCCCAAGTCATGCAGAGGAGGTGCAGAATGGCCCTGATGGGGGGACACTTCCAAGCAGAGGGTCAGAGCTCAGTGAGGCCTTGCATTATCCACCCTCCATCACTGAAAGGAGAGAAATACAAGGGTCCCAGCGTCGCTGGAAATGCCATGGAGTACTTCACAAGAGGATCCCCCACCTCTGCGGGCAAGGTTTTCTTGTTTTGCTTGTTTCTTGAAAACAAGAAAAACTGGTCTGAGCCACTGAGCCAGGTGCTGGTGGCTCATGCCTATAATCCTAGCTACTTTGGAGATGAGGCTGAGATCAGGAGGATCACAGTTCCAGTCCAGCCTGAGAAAAATAGTTTTTCCATCTCAATGGAAAAAAGCTGGACATTGTGATGCATGCTACCAGCTACCACAGAAAGAGTAAAATAGGAGTGTCATGGTCCAAGCCAGACTGGGCAAAAAGTAAGACCGTATCTCAAAAATAATCAGAGCAAAAAGGGCTGGTGGAGTGGCTCAAGCAGTAGAGAGCCTGCCTAGCAAGTGCAAAACTCTGAGTTCAAAACCCCAGTACTGAAAAAAAAAAATGTCTGAGCTCAGGCACCAGAGGACTTGCCAGCAATGTTGAGTGCTCCTGGAGACCCCATGGAATATGGAGATCAGGTGGAGTCATTCCTGCTTTGAGGAGGGAGCCCTTCTGGAGACCCCCACTATCTAATTCCTGGGAACCTGGAAGGAGTTCCATGGTCTTCACATACAGTTCAGGTTGCTTTCCCAGGGCTCACCAAATATAAGCCTACCCAGCAAAGGAAGCAATCAATGGGGTTTCTAGAGGATTTCCAGTGGCCATTTGTGAAGCTGGAGAGACCCTGCAGAAGAAGGGGGCTTGGAGTAACTGCACAAAGCCCACAGAGGAGAGCTGAGCCCACTGGCCCTGAGGAAGGAGCCAAGGCTTGGCTGGAGGAGCCTAGAGCCCCGGCCTTGCT